TCGCTAAACGTTAAAAAATGGTAGAATAACGCAGCTGATTGGAAACGATTTCAAAAAGTGGCGCTCTTAAGTGGAACCTACTTGTGTACTCTTAGCATAGAAGCTCCTTCCGACTACTTCTCATCTTTTTTGTCAACGCTGCTACAAAATGCGTCCAACAAATAAATGGACTGTCTGGAAAAAGACGTGTGCCATGGTGCAGTAACGATTGTCAAAACATACGTGAGCAATAAAAAGCATGGAGGTTGCTTCGGGACCCTCGAACCACGGAGAACCTCACAAACATTAAGAGCGCAAATCTTAAGGTAGGAGAAAGCAACGACAAGCGAAGCAGAAAAGTTTGCACAAGTTTTTGTTGGATATGAAATTGTAAACACATGAGGGTCTGCATCAAGGTGAGAAGGGTAGTAGGTTGACAAGCACTTTTTATTCCTTCAGTAAACACGCGAGGTGAGAGCTTAGAAAACCAGGCGAAGTCCTTGGGCGCTAACTTCCAACAGGAGTTCAACTCGTCGAATTGCGCTAAAGCCTTCCAAAACTACAAGAAGAGAAAAGCGGAGGTAGAGCCCAAACGTAAAAAATATGACCCATACAGTGAACCTTTTTGTTTACCTTAGGATCCATAGACTTCTGCATTAAATACTTCCTTTGTTTTGAGCATGTAGTATAATAAATACCAAAAACCTACCTCTCGGAACACAATCACATTTTTTTCTGCACAACACAATTTGGTTTTCAGGTGAGATATCTACGTGGAAACAGGATTTTGCCGTTCCCATTTCAAAACCGGGCAAGACTTCATTCTGTATTGAGACCTACAGGCCAATCGAGTTAATGACCACCATATGAAAGCTTTTAGAGAAAATTGGCTACCGACTCATAAACTTCTTTGAAACGGTCTGCTTGATCAGTTCCTGTGCAGGTTTCAAGAAGTGTTGTTTATCGTTGAAAAGGAGGACAGGCCAGCCTGAAAAGCAGGGTTTTAGCTTGCTACTGCTCACTGGGATAAGGAGAAAAGGGAAAGCAAGAGGGAGGCATAATGAGGGGTGACTGTGGTATAGCACAGTGAGTCACTGCACACACTGCCTCGTTACGGGTCACACATAAAAGTCTACATTAGTGACATTAGCACATGCTCTAACAACGAGCACGTAAAACTGTTTTGCTGACAACTGTGAGCGAGCCCTTGAAGCTGTGTTGGGAATGATGTACACACTCCCAAACAACCAAAAGCTCCTCTTCCCAGAAGGGTAGGCAGATCTCAAACTGAGAACCTTGTACTTATGTAGGCACAAATCCGAGACGCTTTCGTCTAAAATCAATATTTTCTTTCTGTATTACTTTATATGGAGAAGGCTTTGACGCACCGTAGTGTTTTGTGATAGTAAGAGGTGTGCACCCCCACGTCTGCCTGGTAAAATGTTTGCCATAGTCGAAAGCTACTTGTACAACCGGACACTCCGTGTTCTAGTTCGCGATGTGTTCTCCCAATAATTTGTCTTCAAAACAGGAATGCCCCAAGTTGGGGTACTTAGTTTTACACTCTTCAATAATAGATCGAATTTGTTATGTCTTTACAGCCCATGTGTTTTTGATTTATTGCAGATACACCCATGATGTGCAAGTTCGCTTTACACCATGTAATCATTCAATGGGTGAGCGGCAAGTCCACCTAAGTCTGAACAGAATCTTCAAATGGGCACATCATAAAATCGTTTCAGTTTTGTTTGAATCGTATGTACAACCGCAGAAAATTAGTGCATCGTCCTTCAGAGCCCTGCTTTAAGTATCGAGCTGCTTCTGATTCTCGTGGGACATTCTAACTTTTCAAAACGGCGGTACTTGTTGTGCTGTCTCGGTGAAAGTAACTTTTTCTTTATTGATATACTGTTTCTACACTTCAATGTAAGTCTTTTTGCACCCCCTAGCCAATAAGAGAGAAGTATTTTAATAGCAGAATTGGCTAGGCCACCAAAGCGTGAAACAGCAGCGTGATAGCATCACGAAGGAAATGCGTTGGTCGCCTTAGAATGACAGATGACATTTTTGGCGAAATGCCACCGTGTACATAAATTTCGATGAACACGATCTGTAATAATAGTGAGACCGACTCGCATATTGTAACTTTTGTCAAAATTAGGTCAGTATCGTAAGGAACCAACTGTGACAGACTATTTAAGGGCAGTTATATAAAGATACCGCCCCTATAAAAATGGCACATAGCTGTAAATGAGGGGGTAGTAGTGATTTATGAGCTGACGACGTCAGGCGCGTCCACAGATGCCACCCAGCGCATGCGTGGATAAGTCTTTGTTAGGGCAACCTCTTGCGATATGCGCGCTTTCTGTGCCCATTTCGACCTCTCACCAGCTTCTGCTTGCCACCGGTGGCTATGGCTTCTCGCTGTCAGCACTCGCTCCTCATTAAAGGCGACCGCTTACCAGGATTCACATCTGTGCTTGTGTTTGATAGAATGCAAATGTATCGGGTGAAGCTGCAACAGCGGCTACGCATTCTGCAACGAGAACGCCAATTATTGTATGCCAATTTCCGAGTGGCCTGTTTACGTTCCAAGTGTACATGCATCTACACTACCAAGATGAAAACGAGAACTCATGACTCACGTACGTTAGTGAGAAGCCTGTATTGGAGAGTGGTATAGAGATACTGCTTCGTCACGGCAAGCGGAAACACAACTGGTGCACTGGATGCCGAAATAAGTGTAGCACACTCGGTGCATAGCGTAATTATTTACCAACATCCTAAGCATCGTTAAGTGCGTGAAGCTCTAATACCGAAGTTTGAAGTGGTTTTAAGCAGTGTGTATTTATCGACGGCATGAAGGGGAAACATTAAAAATGACAACGTAAGTATGGATTGATGGCGTGTAGAAGTTGCACAATTTGCCACAAAAAATAATATTTAGCTATAGAATTTAGGTGATAATAATATGTAGTCCATGCGTTCTATGTATATTTGAGTGCTTTCCCGGTAGGTGACGCTTTTATTCTGGGTAATTCACTAGAATCGAATCATCTGAGAAGGTCATATGCGTGTAAAGCATCGTTACCGAATGTATTTGAACTGTAATTCACCACTGTGGTAAAGTGCAGTTTTGGTACTCAACTACCGACCCGCAGGTCGGCCGTCGAGCACCACGAGTGGTTGGGGTGGCCACAGTTCTGGTGGAGGTGAAAATGCTTCAGGCTCATGTACTTGGATTTAGGTGCACGTTAAGGAATCTCAGGTGGTCGAGATTTTTTGAATTCTGCACTGCAGCGTCTGCCATAATCTTATTGTGTTTTTTTTTTCATTTTTATCCAAGGCGAAATTGTGCACTTTGCCTTGGGGGACACGACTAAAGGCTAAATAAACTCCAGACTAGGTCGTGCTACCCTGGCAGCAAAAGCACAGACAGACCAACAAGCATTTGTTGCACAGAATACAGTGGTACATAATCATCCAGAATGATTACAGGAATAAAGGAAATTATAGGTTCACAAATATACAAACACAGCGGTCTTAAAGTGATATTGATACAACGAACATGTACTCATATCAAGCCACGAACAAAAGAAAGAAAATGATAATATTCTCTCGCCGCTAATGTGAGAGAAATTCACAAAACTATAATGAACATTCACTGAAAACAAAATCGATATGACTGGGCACGCTTATGTACAGAAGGAGAAACCTACGAATGTACCGATTAGAAATTTTTTAAAAGAAAGAAGTTATCTATAACTCAAACGTGTGGTTACAAAACCTAACAAACAATCATTTTGGATGTTAAATTCCAACAACTATTATTGTTATTCTTATTGTCATTATATTATTACTTTTGCCTGTCGCGTGTCGTAGGACAGCGCAACATGTGTTTTCTCCTCTCTATTGGTGGACTCTCCAACAAAAGGCGTCTCACTGCTTCTCCCAATTTTTTGACTTTACTGCAACGCCAGTGTGAGAAAACTTTTGTCGTCCCAAGAATTCACGCTCTATGCTCCATGTCAACCTGTTTCATTTTCTATTGGGCTGTCCTAGTATACGTATCAAAGGTAGCCCACAGAACTTCTTAAATACTACGAAGCACCTATGGGAGGCAACTCTGCACGTTTCTTACCCACACGACAAGGACGAGGTGACGGGACAGGAAGAGGCAGCAAACAGGGAACAAGGGGTTTGCAATTTATGTTTTATGTCACTGGTGGTCGCCATTTATGAGATCATATACATTATGTTGAGAGAAAGAACTGCATCGTTATGGCGAACTGATTAATTTGACTAATCCCGCATTTCTGTAATAACAAAATAATGACGTCGTTAAACTGCGTATGGTTTTGTATGGCTTGACCGAGTGCAAAATAGCGTGAATAATTAGGCCTCAGAAGACCACTTTCATAGCAAACGAAAGTCCTGCTTTTATCGTTGTGTGGTTTCTTATCTACTAAAAGGTTTTATTTTGAAATTGCCGTCAACCACCGTTGATGTGTAGCATTGGTCATGTGTGAGAAAAGCACTTGAAGTTTTAATTGTTTGTTGCTCGATTCAGACAGTTTCGCCAATGAAGATTATTATATATAAAGTCAATATAGCAATGCTCAGCAACGCACAAAAAATACAGCTTTGCTGGATGGCATAATAACCGTAGTGAAAGGGCTTTCAATTATTTAAACGGTATAATAAAGAAATATGCAAAGCGTAAGGACTTGTTTCTTCATTCCACATGACTTTATCGACAACCAGAAGACAGTTAATTTAATGAACATATAATGAACCCAAATTAACTGTTACAAGCTTATTGTAGTATACGTATAGACATGTGAAGCAAGTAAAGTGGGCTGAAGACAACTTGCCGCCAGCAGAGATCGAACCTCTAACCTTTCGATTATGCGCACGGTGCTCTCCTAATCGAACTATTAAGGAAGTTGTCTCTTAGTGCACATTATTGGGCGTCTGTGCGCATGGGAACCTGTGAGTGTTAGACAGCGGCGTTCGTAGCCATGACGAAGCCATTAACACAAACTAGGAGGAGGAGGAGGTAAGTTTATTTACAGAAAGGCAGAGAGGTCGGCCTGAGTGATAGCTTGCTCTAGCCTGCTACTCTACACTGGGGGAAGGGAAAGGGGAAAAGAAAGATTAATGGATGACGATGGTGAGATAGAGAGATGAGTATGTAGTGTTCATTCTAGCTGAGACACATTTTATAGCCGCGCACATAGTCCAGTTGTTTCTAAAGAAGTAATAACTGCTATTGTGACCGCAGTTGCACTGTTGGTGTCTGGCCATAGGCCCAACATGGTCTCATGAGTTAATGACCTACTGCGTGAGTGCGGCGAGTTGGGCAGGTTGGTAACGATGCAGAAAAATGATTGATGTAATGAAGGTGTTCAGGGAGCAAGGGCACGGTTTGACGTTCACATGTGAGGTACCCCGGAACGATGCATTGCAGTATTTAGACCTCCAGTTAGCATTTAGCCCTGATGGTTTATGCTGGCGATATAAACCAAGGTCTCAAAAGGGCTTGCTTGACTACCAGTCTGGTCACTCCAGACTTGTAAAGAATGGAATAGCCAGCTCCTGTATCCGGTCTGCCATCTCAAAGTCATGCCCGCACCTGATTCGACAAAGCATGTGTGAACAAGCAGTTAAGTTGCGGCAGGCAGGGTACCCTGATGCTGTTATAGCCGCTGTTAGTGAAAGGTTGCTTAAAACCATAAGAGCAGGTGGTAAGCTGGCGGCGACGGTAAGATGCAAAGGGAGCAGACCTTTCTCGGTAATCCCTTATATTCACGGAGTGTCCCACCGGTTTAAGAGAGTGGCGGCACGCTTTGGCGTCAACGTGGTGTTTTCAGCCAAAAGTAAACTGAAGGATATTTGCCCGAGACTGCAGCACCGTGAAAATGAAAAAAGTGGTAAAAAAGGCAAGTGCACAATGAGACATGGCATTCGTTTCGTGTCTTGTGTAAAAGGGGTGGTATACGAGACGCCCTTTTCGTGCGGACACGTTTACGTGGGCCAATCTGGGCGGTGTCTCAATATCCGTCTACGCGAGCACCACAGCTCTTTGAAAGGCACACCGACATCCCACTTGGCATTACATTGCCGTCAGTGTGGCTGTACTCCAATGTTCGATCAAACAGCTGTGCTATTCCGTCACAGAGAGCAGTTAACCCGAGAATTAGTTGAGGCCTGCTTCATCCGAAAACGTGGCGAGAAGTGCGTGAGTCATCCGTCTGTACTCCTTCACGATAAAGAATTTTCATTCCTAATGAGCACGTTTTCATAGTTTCACCGAGGTAAGCATGCGCAGTTGGTGTCACATTTTTCGTTTGTAGGGTTTTTCGGGGGGCTGTTAAGTTTTTTTCTAAGTTTTCTTGGTTCCATTTACACATGCGCGTTTACCTGTTTATTTCCTGATATTACATTTTTTGTTTTTGTATGACGTTGTATAACAATATATGTGTAAAAAAGTAGGCGTGAGATTTCTGTGATTTGAGTTCGTATATATTCATGTGTGTTTCCTAATAAACTTGGTTTGAAGTTAGCGCTCGTGTTGTCTACGTTTCTTTCTTTTGTTTCCGTTCTGTGGCGCTAAGATTTCTTAGTCATGCATTGTTACTACTTCACTGTGTCTGAAAAACGCGCCCTATTCGCAAATGGAGACTGTGCAACTATTGCAGTGACCTTCGTGCGCCCGATAACTACATCACAAGCATTCTAGCGAAAGCCCAACGCCAGCCAAGACGTACGATCATCCCCCCTGGTAGATAAAAGCACGCGACCTTCTCTACTCTGAGGGGCAAAGTACGCGTGGGAGATGTGAACACGCACCGCTGCGTGCTCATCGCGCCATCTTGCTGGTAGTTCTGGATGGATGGATGGATGGATGGATGGATGGATGGATGGATGGATGGATGGATGGATGGATGGATGGATGGATGGATGGATGGATGGATGGATGGATGGATGGATGGATGGATGGATGGATGGACGGATGGATGGACGGACGGACGGACGGACGGACGGACGGAAGGACGGATGGATGGAATGGAATGGAATGGATGGATGGAATGGAATGGATGGATGGATGGTTGATGGATGGATGGATGGATGGATGGATGGATGGATGGATGGATGGATGGAATGGAATGGATGGATGGATGGATGGATGGATGGATGGATGGATGGATGGATGGATGGATGGATGGATGGATGGATGGATATGTTTGTACCCTCAAGATCAGGCAGCGGCTTGCACCACCAAGCCGTAATACTTAGTGGACCAAAAGCTAGATTATTTTTCCCTCTAAATAGTGAGGTTAAAGACTCGCACTTTGTAGTGAAGGGTTTGATTTTCACTCGTGCCTTGACTTGAGCCAACAATCCGATAACCTCCTTCTAGCTGATTTTACCCGATTAAAGTTTATTTTGCCTTCCCTGTCCTTAAACCCCAGTGCTTTGAAAAACTGTGCGCCATCATTCTGAACGATAGGGTGCAGACTGTTTAGAACGTTATAAAGTGCTCGGCAGTTTTCTCTTCCTCTCCACACGCTGAAAACATGATAGTTCCCCCCCCCAAGATGCCCTTCAGCAGCGGTATGAGGTAAACATTAATAGCTCGCCGTTTGAACGTTAAAGGACGTGCTCCGCGATGGCTCAGTACTTGATCGATAGGCAGTTGAAACTGGCGGTACTTCAATGAATTTTGTGAGTGTATTTTGTGATGCACTTGCCTTTTGACCAATTTGTAAATATGTTAAATATGAACAGTCTTGATCTGCAAGGATGAAAAAAAAGCTCCGCGGTGGCTCAGTGGTTATCACCTCGCATTCACAACTCTGAGATTCCACGTTCAATTGCGCGTGCCAGTTTTTTTTTCAGGATCTTTTTTGTTCATGCCGCTTCATATATATAGATACGTATATATATATATATATATATATATATATATATATATATATATATATATATATATATATATATATATATATATATATATATACGGTGAGTGACGGTGACGCCCACGTCGATGCTGACGGCAAAATTTAGTGGAGAATATCCATATAAATGCTATTGCAATAACTATTCCCACAATTTACACTGAGTGAGTGATGATGAGTGGGGCAGAGTGTCCGTACGTCCCTCAGTCTATCCTTCAAAGTGTCTGTTTGTCCGTGCGTCCATGCGGCTGTCTACCTGTCCGTCTTTTTTCTGCCTGTCTGCTGTCTGTCCGGCCGTCTACTATACGAAAACCACTAACTACATCTAGTGATAATATTTTTAAGGACACATACACAGCGCTATTCAGTGAGCGATTCCTAAAATTAAGTAACAATGGCTACGTTCTACTACTACTACTACTACTACTACTACTACTACTACTACTACTACAGCTATTTATACTACTGCTTCTACCTCCTATTCCTCCTCCTCTTACTACTACTACTACTACTACTACTACTACTACTACTACAGACGAGGGAACGACTCACACCCTAAAGAGCTCCGCCCCTTGAAGAACACACACAGGACGAAAGTATAAACAAAAATTACGTTCATAGCTCATCATTCAAGGCTCTTGTCAAACGAAAATGACGCACAAAACGTATGCGCACAAGTAAACACAGCAAGAGTACAAATTACCTGTAATGTCATAGCTTTTAAGTTTGCCGAGTTTTAAAAGCCCGCTCTTTCTGCAAACGGAGACACTGCAGCGAGTGAAGTCAATTTTGTGCACCCTATAACTAGAAACTAATCGTTCTCGCGAAAAACAAAACGTATGTAAATTTCTGTTCCATCGCGAGACAAGCGCCACGCGCATGGTCACCCACGCACTGTTGGGCAAAGTACACGTTTAAAGAAAGCGAAGTGCCAAGCACGCCCTTCACTCTATCTCGCTATTTTGCTGTGAATGCTGAAAACACGCTGGTATTCCCACCGAGATCGACGTAGCACCAGCGGTGAATGGTGTGTACAAATAGCTAACAGTTAAGGCGAAGTATAATCCTTTTGAATGCTAAGTGGTGAACGCCACGAGCTCGGGAGCGAGAGGACAGTGATTCAATTTCTCGAATCGGAAATTATTAAATGCGAAGCCTTCCTTGGCGCACTTCGACGACATTGACCATAATTGTTCCTCTGCATAGCCGCCTACAACATTTAGCTTTCCTGGCCGTTTAGATATTGAAATCTGTGCCAAAATTTGTGTGGTAATTTATGACTGTATGACGAGCATAAGTGACCATACATAACATGAAAATCATGACGTGTATGTCATGAATATCATGATATACATGACATTGCCTTGCTGCTCTTGCGGTGACATGACATAATGCAAAATTGGTATGACATGACTGGCTGCATGGCTAACATATGCAAGCAACAGGCCCTAGCGTGGAAATCATGACATACATCTCATGTAAGTCATGACTACACGCCACATTCTAGGTGCACTTGCTGCTTCGCTAGCTTCACATATACCTCATTTATTATTAAGTGACGTAAATGGAGGACGAAGGTATGTAACTGGTGCAAACATGGTAATCATGGCATGCTTCTCATGTAAAAATACGACTACATGTCACGCTTATGATGTGCTCGTGGTCGTTTCACTAGCTTCACATATGCCAAATATGCTATTAGGTGACGTGAATGGATTGCGAACGTATACCACTGGTGCGAAAATGATAATCACGACATGCGTGTCATGTAAGAACGTGACTACATGCCGCGCTGATGAAGTGCTCGCGGCTGTTTCACTAGCTTCACACTCTAAGTTTGGTGTTACGTGACACGAATGAACGACGAAGGTAAACAACACGTGTAAACACGATAATCAATACATTAGTGTCATGTAAAACATGACTACATGCTACACTCATATCGCACTCGCAGCCGTTTCGCTAGCTTCACCTATGCCCAAACTGGTTTTACGCGACGCTGGCCTTCTAGCGTTTACCATGAAGTTGTGACTTTTTTTATTTTGCAGGAAATACGCACAGACAAAATTACACTTTTTACAAAGCAGGTAAGTACGCTGCTGCATTCGCATACGCCCTTGACGAAATAAAACGAGTGTGTTGCGGCCTATGTATTGTGGCAACAGCGACTATTCTTTTACAGTAAAACTACATGTAACGAATATTTTCTGCAGTTGAGCATTTCTGGCGCATCTTGCTTTATGTGTACAGCACCTCTTATGCCCTATACACTACGAAATTAAGAAGAAGCAAGACTGCTTCATAGCAGTCTTGCTATGAAGCAGTCTTGCTCATTTGTTGGCTTCATACAAGTTTGGGCACTGTAGAGCATAATAGAAATATGATGAGCAATAATTATTTTTCAATCAATAAAGCAATGTGCAAAGCTACCAATTTCCTGCTGGAATCACGGTGACCCAAAACAGATTTGTTTAGAATTAAAAGCATCTCACTATGATCTCTTTTTTTTTCTGTAGCTTGAAGCAGCCTTTGAATTCTCTCTATACTGTGGCAGTAGTCTAGAATTTCATTCCGATATTGGAGTTGACCCTTGGTATGTTACGAATTAGTAAATTTGGTAAATTTTTGTTTTCAGTTTTGCATTCGTTCAGCAGAAAAAACATGCGTATCTTGGAGTTTGTGGATACGTTACAACTTTGAGACCACGAATACTGCAAAATATGGCCTAAAAGGCCGTCAGTTGTCGTTTCGACCATGTTGACATTACGCACCTTTATTTATTTTTTAAGTAAAGTTGGTATGCGCTCTCGCAAGCAAAATTGCAGTATCACAGTTTCGGGACGAGAACGAATCAGCTGTAGTGCGTCGGCTTCTGTACATGCGCCATGCTTAGTTCCAGCTTCATTGAAGGTGCTTAGAAGGCTTTACAATAAATGTGACCATTCGCATCCTGCGTGTGATCTGAACAGAATGAGCTTGAACAATGTGGCGCACTTGGCACCTCCTCTCTTCGCGGGGCCAACTGAGCCACCAAAGCCGCTTATGTATTACTCTCTATTCATGCAGCATGTAACGTTTCAAACTGATCGTTGTGCTCGCGTAACCTCCAGAATAAACTTAGCCACCCTTTTACTGTATGTAATCCTTGCAGAGTTATCTCAAACAATCTCGAAGCTTCTAAAACATATATGGGAGTGGCGGCTCTGAGCGCGCCGAGCGTAGCAAGAAGCTTCAGCCAACCCTTAACATTTAGCCTACAACAGCTGCTGTGCCTTCGGCATAGAGTGTTGCCAACAGACTTTAATGTCGCAACCTGACCACATCAAACTAACGCGGTAACCAAGACTGAAAAATACCCAGACAGTGTCAGTACGACTGATACCGCAATAAGAACCCGTGCTACTTCAAGTAGAGGAGTAGACTAACAAGATTTGTCTCTGAATGTGATCTTTTGGGTAGATTTTTAATATATATACATAAATATATACTACATTTAGGTTAGCCTTTTTTTCTGGAACGAACACAGATATAGCGATATGAGTGTTAAGGAGAAACGTAGAAGCAGTCTGGACGTCACGAAGTATTTTATTTCACTAGAGTGCCGACCTATTCATTCAACAATCAATCTTGCCAAACAATCAAGCATGTGTACATGCGTACTTAATAGCTCTCTATTATACAATTGTGGCTATGCTCGTGCGCACGATTCCCCGGTGTCTTGCATGGCTTAGACGATGACTCCCATGGTCATATTCAGCGACACCGTATAGAGAAGTATTGAGGTAGCCATCTGTTTGATGAGCCGACAACGTATCTGTCAATATGCGAAGTTCTGACCAGCTGCGGGCAAAACTGAGAGTGGTTGAGAAGCGCACGTGCAACCGTAAACGTAACAGGGGTAAGCTGTCTGCATTAAAATATTGCTATACATCAAGAACAACATACAGGGTGTTTAAAAATGTGTCCAGTATTATTTTAAAAGTGACAGAAAAAAAGGTATATGCTTGCTACTCGCGGCGTTGCCTTCCTGTGGCAGAAGGCAGCTTCAGATGGGTACAGACCTCAATTATGGCAGTAGTTATAGAAATTAACCGAATAAACTTTTAAACCAGTGGTAATAGCCGGTCGAGTCAAATGGGCGAATTGAAGCCCTTTCTACGAATAATCTATAGCCACTTTGACATTTTGGAAAATCGGCCACTAATAATCACTGCGTACCGATGTAATCTGACCATTTTAGCTGGCTAAACCGAAATAAATGCACCGAACAGCGCATCTACCATTCACCTCGACAACACCTTGAATGACGATACTGTTCCCCTCACATTGAGACAGAAGAGTAATCGAGTGTCGATAGGCGGCCTCGAAGTGAGTGTCTAAATTGGCGATTGATAACAGCGAAGGAAACAGTGCCGTCACTGAGGGCGTTGTCGAAGTGAATGGTACATGAACTCCACCGTGCGGCGGTTTCGGTTTCTCCGGGTAAATCGGGCTCATTGCATTGCTCCGCGGTGAATATCAGTGGCCGCTTTTCCGAAATTTCAAAAAGGCTATGGACTATTCATGGGAAAGGCTTGAATTCGCCCATTTGACTCGACCAACGATCACCACTGATTGAAAATGTAATTGCGCTAAATTCTACACTTATTGCCGTATTAAGGTTTTACGCATCTAAAGATGTCTGTCTTCTGCCACAGGAAAGGCTACGCCGTAAGTAGCACGCAAATACCCTCTTTTTGTGATTGAAAAAAAAAAACATTAGACACATTTCTTGAAACATCCTCTATACTATTACTTCCGCCACTTCGTAAATATGAAATTGCTCTTTTTGTTGACATTTAAGGTGACCAGTTCTTTCTTAATCTTCGCTGCCTGCAATCACAAAACATCAGACAAAAATTTTGAATCATCTACTAGCTGTAAGACGTGAAAAACTTTTAATAAAATTTCCCCAGAAGATCTTTTGAATGAGCTGCCCCTGAAAGCATGGTGCCGTAATATCTTGTTGGCAACATCAATTGTTGTATTTTTCACCTGTGGTATGTCACGTTGGTGACATGATGAACGTCATATGTTACTGCATATGTTTACTTTGCCATATTTTATCACTACTTGATATACTACGATCTGAACAGAGCATTATTCTTTGTAAGCTGTCATTTTAAATAGTAACCATGTAACCATTTGTTGGCATTTGCCAGTAAAATTATCCAATTTATCAATTTTCTGAGCAACTTCATCGGGTCTAACAGCCGAACAGGACACTCTTTCGAGTTCTATTTTGGATCATGAGCTACAACACATAGAATGAGAGCTCCAAGTTTTATGCGTATTATCGTCATACGACTGACCAAAATAGCTGCTTCAGTCACATACAATGCACACTGTGCTTGAAGTGCGGCATGAGTGGCTCACATTTTCAATAAAGCAATGAATAATGCACTCAGTTTTATTGTAATAATATAATTAACATTGAGGCTACTAGACCACAATATCGGTATTATAAACGACACGTCCTTCTTTAGGACTGCGTACAAGTGACAGTAGCGTTAAGCAAACAATAATTTTTGTTATATTCGAGTACAAAACTGTCACAAACGTCAGTGAAGTTGCTTTGCTACAAGTCAGCTGAGCTTAAAAACAGCTTTCAATATATTTGCGTTGTTATATATTGAAATGCTCTATTTTTTTCAGTGTGCGATAACAGACTCAGTGAAATCTGCCTGTACCCTTTATGTAAGTTGCCAATTTAAACAATTGTTAAAACAATTGATTGAAGCCAGTTGGTTTCAAATATTTAGAAGGTTTAGCCATTTAAAAGAATCACCTAGTAGGTAAATATTTTTTATTTAGAGTCAGAAAGTAAAGCTTTACTAAAAAAAGCAGAGAAGCCCAGCGGAGCTTGGGCACTCAAGCCTGCTGAAAGGCAGAGTAGTAATAGAGTGATGGCGGTTATGATAGTGTCATAGTTATGTGGCGGTAGTCGCCCGTAAGCACGAAGGCGAGGCAACTTGAAAACAAATAACCCTCATTCGAGCGAGCTTGCGCTCATAAAAGAATCGAGCGAAAAACTGTGGGTGGCCTCGAAACAGCCTCTGTGGTTCAGCATCGGCGGGAAGAATGCCCACCCTCTTTTCACCGATACGCATCAGTTTTTCACGTGGTCCCACTGCTTATCAAAAGCATGCCCAGCGCGCAAGAGACAGGACGATGCGCTACCGATGCCACAATGTACGTACTGCATAAGCTGAGGACGGTGCTGCGCAAACAAGTGGGCACCAACACAAACGCACGTGCCAATGGGAGCAGGAGAACGTGCTTCTAATGTAAAAAGCTACTTTTCTGAGCCTTCAAGTTCTCTCGAAAGAGTTGCTGAGACTGTCTAGAACAACAGTGTCGGCACACCACTTTTACGAAAATCTTTTGCCCCGATGTAGGCCAACATTGAAGCTGTTCTGTTGGCTATCGCCAACGTCTATCACATGATTGGGAAACTCTCATCTACTTGGATGTGCACAGTACTCGAGCTGTCTGAACAGCCGCTAGAGTGCGTGTGTATATCGCCGAGTGAAGGCGGCTTGCTTAATAGACTAAGAGAGTAATGCTGAAAACCAAAGATGGGATTCCAAGCCCTTAAGTTGTCTGGGAAACGCAAGGACTTAACAAGAATGATGGTTCGCAAATATACTTAGCTGGTTCCAGAAACAACACGGTCATATGTGGGTGACGAAAACGCATGGTATGGCGGTGTCACCAAGATATACCAGTAGCCCTAGCAAAGGACCTAACTTACGGCAAGCCTTCAGCGTGTCCTTCCAACACGTTTAGGCATGCCCAAAAAACCTTCCAGTCGGTAGTCATGGCTCCTGCGAACATGTTAGCAAAATGGTATAGTGCTGGTTAGACCTGGTACTTACAATTACATCAGATCGTCAGTGATAATTCATTCGCTCTTCACCGGAAAAATGGTTCCATATACCCAGGCATATACACAACCATATACCCAACCATCATCTGCCTTAAGTCCAGGAGCTTTGGTTCATTTGTGCATCGCCAGCAGCATAGTTATCGCTTCCATCATGACATACCTACGCTTTGGCTTGCGGTTACGATGAAAGCAAGCAGCGCAAAGAAAACAAAAAAAAAGAAGTGCTCAAGGTCATGACGTACCCTGACGAGTAGACGCAGCTTCTCGCCTCTTCATCAGACCCCTCTACATACGCTGCTTTCAGCACGCTTACTGGTGCGTGAGGAGAGAGGAAACGCCTGAAACGTGTGACTCCGCTTGTACATTACATATTGTAATTTTTTTTCGCAGGAGCCCTTTCGTGAAGCGACAAAGCCTCTCAATCAAGGCCGTTATTGATTATTTCAAAAGTATCTGCAGGCACTTACAGCGAAATCATTTAGGCTTTTGGTTCGACAATGTAGTATTAACAAGAAACCGCGACTGGCTATAAGTCACCATGCTGTGCCAAGATCTATTTACCTGAGCTATCTATTGGGGTGTAGTCATAGAGATTTTGATAATGGTACAATAACTAGATCAAGCGTCAATAAGTGAAGCCTAATTGTCAGTAACAATTAGGCAAATGGTATTGAAGTCATTTCAAATCAGGACTAGGATAAGTGGCACACGTCTAAGTCCAAACTTATTAGCTATAAAGTAATTAGGTCCAGTCTCATTTGAATCTGGTTATATATTTCAACTCTAATTGATTCGAAACTAGTTAAGGTAATTCAACATGGGGCCTACAGCAGAAGTACAGAACACCAGGAGAAGCTGCTCAGCAGGAAGATCGCCACAATGCTTCCCCTCCCCCAGGAACAAAATACAGCAATGGCATAGAGACACGAATTCTGCTGCGATGTGCCATTGTGATTGATTTCAAGTTGCAAGACCATTAAAATTAGCAAGAAGGTCGGAAATGGAAATGCGAATGGGAAATATGGTAGGGCCACCACCGTCACAAATTGCACAGTCCTTGCATTTTTGTACATACTGTAGTGCTGACTGTAGACAAGCAAGACGTTCGTTTGTGCGTGAATCATAATTAATTCTGCAAAATGTAAATTTGCAAGTTAATAAGCGGCTCCGTAAGCAACACATTGAGATAGGTGACGCTGATAACGCTGATGACGCTGATGGCATTTTAAGGAATCTGATAATACTTGAGAGAATGTATTGCTTTTTGCATACTTGTTACGCAGTTGTGATAGCAAATATACCTTGTAAGCGTTTTTTCCACGTCAATAGCAATGACAAGAAACCAAGATTGTTTATCCCAAGGGTATTAGCCTTGGCTTATGAATATGATGCTCGTGCAAGAAAGCAAAAGAAAATGAGACATCTTTCATGTTATATTATTTGTTATATTTTCCGTACGTTACAGCTGAGTGAAAGTAAATTTGTCGTCCAGTGGGCAAGGATGCATTTAAAACATTTCTTCAGAACCTTAGCTTAAAGAGAGACTCGACCATTTTTTGAAGAAGCTCATGCAGCTTTGAAGGCAGAACATATGCACTTGATTTTGACTTGCTTGAAAAAGTTTGTATATTTTCTTTCAATACTTTCAGTGTGCCTTTGCCCCAAGTACGATGCGTACGGATACGTCCGCAATGAGGGAGACCGTTGGTACTACAACAACATCACAAACCAATGCGTAAAGCGTATGGCTGTAGCAGATGGCTGCAACGACTTTGAAACCATAGATCAATGCGAGCGACACTGTTTCAACGCCACCGAAAGGTCCAAAGCACTTTGGTCTCCAGAACAACTTCAAGCTATATTCGCTAAGCAATACTGAAAGTACTATTACCGAAAGCGATTCTTCCAATGTAACATTGCTTTGTACATTATAACAGAACATGCGAGTTTCTGAAGCACCCAGTACTTCTGTAGCATTCAGATGCTACTAGGTGCATTTCATACGTCGCGTGCCAATGTTTGCAGATATTTATATAGAGAAAAACGCACCACCGCACAACATAAAGCGTATTATTCTTTAGAAGGTCAATTTCTTTCCCCAAGCAAAAAAAAACTAATAAATAACCCCAATACTTGCCTTAGTTGTCTCTGGCACTCGCATCTGGGTATTTCTGTGTCCTTTTGTATTTGCTGGTTAGCATTGTGTTTCTTCGCACAGTCGCCGCGGATCTCAGAGTCAACGTACAAAAATGTCGTAGCTGAGATATACTCCACTAGGGGCCACGGCGATCACAGCTGCTCCCAAGTACACCGCACGCTCGTTGAATTTATTTCCATTCATTTTCAATTATTATTCTGGCAGGTAATTGATATTTATTTTATGTAGTCCTTGCCAGACATTTAAACGTGTATATCGCATTTCTCAGGCGGGTACTGTGAACTCTACCGATGTTGTGTTAGTGTCAAAAACAAGAATAAAGACGTTATAACTTTATTTCGCGGAAGAAATCACCTTGGTTTGTGTATGAGTGACACTATTGTATCTATTTGTATCATTTTTATCCGAAGTAACGTATCCATATGAGGGCATGATGACATTGGCAGGGTAATTTGTTTGCAATTCGAAACAGTTGACTGTGGGGTAAGTTGGTGCTTTGACATAGAAACCATCGTGCAGATGGTACTAAACACAACACACAAGAAATGCCTGTCCTCGTCTGTTTCTTCCTCTGTGTTGTGTTTTGTTGCACCCTCACTTTCATCTTTAATATTAGTATCACGCGGCGACTATCAAGTAACACTCATACGTTCCTAGTCAGCCTCACTATAGAGCATTAATCATAATCTAGGTACTTCATATACGCCGTCACATGCAAAAGAATACCACAGTTATGTGTGTGATTCTGGAAACAATCGCAGAATAAGGTTGGGTGAGCTACAGAATTACTACGATGATGTGAGGCTTCCGGTATATTTTAGCCAGTGTAAAACACACTAGTGCGTGTTCAGAGTGCTTTACCAGTTTCGTCTGAGAGGGAAATCAGACACAATCAAGGCAGGTCTGGAGGATACAACTGTTTTGACATGTTTCGTTGGAAAACAGACTGGAGATTTTTCGTGAAACCCGGGCTCATGCATTTTGGCATGGCCACTGCATTCTGATTTGGTCCTAGCCGTAATTTCACAATGTTCAGCCCTGTTGCCTGAAGTTACGTTGATGATTCTTCTGCGTCGTTTAACGTCCCAAAACCACCATATCATTATGAGAGACTCGCTTGAAGTTACGTTGATGATGCACCTTTTATGCTGCAGAAATAAATATAAAGTCTGCCATTCCCCAAGTATATAGTGTAATAGTACATAAGTCTGGTGTGTGCTAGTGTGTTCTCTAATTGTGATCATGGCATTAGCTTCATTGTCTTTTTTAGTGTTTCAGCTTTGCAATGCATTAGTATGCATGCAGTGTGTGACGTTCTTTCGGTGTCTTGTACAGTGGAGTGTTTTCGCAATTCCCTATATGATTGTGTTTGTATATACATATACTATTCATCTGCTGCCCCGGTCATAGTAAAAGTACAAATATTTTCTGCGCCACGTATGTGCAGGCCTATGACGTATCTACTTAAAGGGACACTAAAGTCAAATAACAATTACGTCAGAGTAAAAGCTGAATCTATGGCAACACCTAAAACGACAATATTATCAACAACAGTGTCCTGCTTACCGAGAAACTGAGGTAAATACATAGCAACACAAGCGGTGCAGTGCGGAATTTCTAAAATGATCCCGGTGACAGCAGACAGACCGCCAACAATTATTCACTAGTAATCGATCTAACTGCACTAAATAAAGAACTTTCCATGCATCAAAGACGCAATAAAATACTGCTTGTTCGTTTGCATTTTGTTCATGAAAAAAGAACCGCTGGACGTTACTATGGCGAATTGCGCGAGTGATTCAAAATTCCATTTTCGCGTGGTTGCACGAAACACTTCGTGACATCTAGCGGGGCGCAGTCGAAACAATATCGTCTGCAATCTCGGAGCCAATGAAGGGAAATTTATCAACGGCCATTTTGCTTTTGTGGCTCCCACTGCTTTCGGCCTGCTGCTACTAGCGCAGTAAAGCCGGGCAACGTTGTGCACAAAAACAATGACGTGAGACGGACCAATCGGTTCGTTTCTTGAGGCGGGTAATTTCAAGTGTGCTAACCCGACGTGGACCACAAAAACGTGATTTTATTTCAAAAGAGGCCTTTGCCTGGCGCAAAAGTAAGACGACGAGGTTTCTGGACCACCATTTCAACAATCAACGTTGACTTAATAGTTGACATTAGTGTCCCTTTAAGCTGTGCACCAGTTGGGACGTCTGAGAATACCGCGATTCGAAGTTCGTCTGCACCTGCACTACAAAATCGTATGCAGTCAATCAGCGGCATTGCCTTTTGTACATGGAAAATATTTTGTTCTTTGTGCAGACAGCAAGCCTGCTTCTATTTATTATTCCTAATATTCGTCTAATCTTGTCATAGTGGGATAGCGAGTGTCGGTCAAATAATTGCTTAGCTGAACTGTGTTCCTTCAACTCCGGTTATTAAAGATCTAGTATTATCAAGTATGCATTCAAACACAGGCATGTAAAACGCCTAATAAACCTAAGTGCAAGACGTTTAAGAGAAAGGCTCCATTACATTTGTTTAAGGCGGTGCACCTGACTGTAATATGCCCACCAAAACACATTACACAAGGCTTGTGCAATCATATTCATTCCAAGAGGCTTCCATCTCCCCCAGAACACATCACACGATGTTCGCGTATCGCCCAGAACAGACCACATCAGCCTGGTGGGCCCACAGAGCAACCACACGATCTTGTCATCCCCTGCGGAACACACCACACCTTGTGATGGTCCTATCAGGACGAAGCAGACCAAACGGTGTGTTCATCAGAAGACACTGTCTACAATTACGTAAGCATCACAACAACCCAGACCTAGCAAACCTACTTTGGTGGGTTTGTGGCTGGGTATAAAAAGCACGCCGCGACTTAAGCAAGTCACTGGCGTAAGTGGCTAGGATGAAATACTAAAAGAAACCCTTTGTTCTCGTCATGTTCAGGTCTTTTTGTTGAAGTCTGAGAATTATCACTTCCGTTCTTGTGCATTAATATTGGCGGTTCACATTCATCACAGTATGCATCACTACACACACTAATGCTGCAGAAGGCACAAAAATAATCGGACAGATTCAGCCTTTTGTCTATCGTATTCATGCGAAGCAGTCGGCGAGTACTTGTCTAACTGTGTATTTTGGGTCCTTTGTTTCGAGGTGTATTAACGTGGTTTTGTTCGTGCGGTAGTTGTGTGGATATCATGGCCTTCCAAGGCATGTCGACTACACAGGCGTTTGATTGGTAACCAATAGT